TTAGCATACCTTTCCTACAGGAAGAGAATGGTCTTTCTTCATCTGATCTTTCATAGTTAAAATAATTGGTTGAGAAAGATCAAACCAATCAAGACGATGGAATCTTAAATGACTTCTGTGTATCCAGAATCTCTGGGTATCCACATTTTTATTCCATGGGCCATTTTGCCTTTTCCTGCGGAGTGGTTGCAAATCAAGCCCCGTACAGCCTGCACTTAATGAAAAAGACTAGAGTTTGTTCAGATCAGTCTGACAATGTGGACCGTGTGTAAAAGGACACTGTCCTATTAAAAACACCTCACCAGATTCTCCATCAGCCTAGGAGGGGAAGCAGTGCCACTGCCCCCGCCTGTCTCTCAGTCCCCTGACTCCCTTTCTCCATTAGTCACCTCAAGAGGTTTGGGGCCACTTTGCCATCACAGCTCTGTTTTCAGCCTGTGTTTATAGCTGCACTGCCCCATGCTTTCAGACTGCAGCCCAGCAGACACAGGGCAGAGACTGAGATGAGGCCTTCTAAGGGGCCCAGGGACAACAAAAGGAAAAGAAATACGAAGGGCAGCAGGTGCCTAGAGAATCTCATCTACAAAGGTCAGGTCCTTAGTAAACCGTCGGCTGTCACGTCTTTGTGGTGGGCTCCACTGTTGCACCCACCTTGAGGCCAGGTCCAACAGCTCCCTGTGTCAGCTGAGGGCCAGAGAGCACGGCCAAGAGGGGGACAGGGATGACTTTCAGTTTTCTTTCAGAGACACACCTCTTTCCTAGACATTTTTCCATATTGGAAAATAAACTAAAAATCACAGAAGTATCTTTTCATTCCTTGTGGTTTCATTTTGCAGATTCAAATTTCACAGAATATCTTTTGCTTGATCTCAGCTTCTGGATCTTTGAGTGGATGAACAACAATTTTCTTAAGACTAACCAGTGTTTAAAGTTGATAGTAGAGTTTTTAAGCCCTGCCTGTTCTCCCACTATCCTTGCTATTGAAAATTTGAAATGGGTACAATGTAGATTCCTGGAATTATTGTTTAATAGCTGGTGGCCAACACTGACCAGATACTCAGAAATAAGGACTAAGAAAGAGATAATTTTAACATAATTTTAATAATTTAGATAATATTAAAATAAATAATAAATAATTCATCCACGAGAATCCTAGAATAAGTAAATAGAACCTAATTTTCAAGTATCAGAGGATCACAATTTTTGGAAAGGTAAAAAAACCTGCATCATTTCAAAATTGATGTTTTTTGACAGCTCTGTACCATAAGTATCCTTTTTGTTTTGCCATCATTAAATCCAACTGTACCAATAGGAATTGTTTTCAATCTGTCTTCTTATTTTTGTCTCATTCTGCTATTAGAACCAACTGTTGCCTCTCATACCAGGAAGCCACATCTCCCCCACACCTGATGGAAGAAAACAAGTCCTCCAGTTAAAATTTGATCATCTCCCAAACATTTAGGAAAATGTTCTTTCAAGTGCAAAGTCATTTAATATGTACACGTTTTTGTACAAGTGAGATAGGAATTCTCAGTGTTTCAAATGCAAATGAGCCATATGAAAATTAAGATGCCTTGTAGAATTGTTTTGCTCTAATCATTGCTGATTCCTTTCCTCGTGCTTTTTACATGCCAACTTTATCTTTTAGAACATTTTCTTTAAATGTTATAGAGCATAAAACTGCACATATGGAGGAGACATTTTCGATTTCATCAGAGCAGCCCTTCCACTTTATATTGAGAATTTGTGGGCTTGTACTTTGACTTATGTCAAAGACTTACACTTATCATCTTGCTTCAGCTGACCACGTTATATCTACAAGTAAACAGCTTGGCGAGCTGTTCTTTAAGGGATAACATTATGTTCCTGCATTTTAATCCACTCTTATTCTAACCAGGTCTGTTGAATAATGCTGATATTTTATTCGTGCTTTTATATTTGTATAGGAAGGGAACCTCGAAAGGTCATCTAGGTTTATCCCTTGATGCCAGGGCAGACTCTGCTTTCTGTGTCTCACAAGACATTGATGATTCTATTTTTAAAGCTAGCTAGAGAAAATTCCATACAAATTCTATAAATTAGAAAATAGCGGGTGAATGACAAGAAATCACCACCCTCATGGCAGTAACACCTTGGATAATTGACTCTGAGCTGCTGTCCTAGGCCACATATAGCTCCTTTCCCTTTCCTCCTCCTGGCTAAATCATCTCAGTACCTAAACCAGTCCTATAGTTCATTGCCAATACCCTCTTCCTACATTTGTATCCATAGCCTCTGTGAACTTGTGCAGTCCTAAGCAAATAGTGCATCACGATTAGGTTGGTCTGCAGTTGTGTACGAGGGCAGCAAGATTATCTGTCAGTTAATTTCATTTTGTGTCTCTTACCAAAAAAAAAAAGCAAAGCAAACACTTTAGTAGATGAGCTGAATTTACTTTGGGTTATTTTCCCAAGTAGATTGAACATAATACATAGATCCACATACACTTATAAACATGTGCATATAACTTTTGAAGCAAAAGTAGATTCAGACATCCAAAAACGATGCAGAATGTTTGAAAGTACTTTTAGTTTGCTAACAACCTATGGAAAATAATAGCACAGGGCTGTCCACCACTGTCTGGCAATGTGGTCAAATTCTATATAGACACATTATTCCAAAAATCTTTTGTCTCTGGCACCAAAAGTTAAGTGTATATTGTTATTAAGGAAACAGTAACACTTTGTCTTCATCTCTGGAAGTCCGTTGCACTTATAAATGTGTAAACTTCCAGAGCATCTCACCCAGTGATTTGGAAACATCCATTCAGTAAGCAATATGGCATCCAAACAATAGTTCTTCGCTCATAGGAAAGACTTTTTAAATGGACTGATTAACTAACATTCTTAGTATACATATAGACTATTTGAGCCTTTTATTTTCATCTTGTTATTAAGAATCTGCCTCTTCGATTTGTATGTTTCTTGCACGTTTAATAGTATGATACCACAGGTGCAAGAAAAATGAGAAATGAAAGATAAGAAGTAACTCTGCTGACTGATTTATTTTTAGCTTTCGTAGTGTTTTTCTCATTTAAGCCTCCTTATTACCAAACTACTCACGCTTCCCCAGCTCTCCTACACACACACACACACACACACACACACACACGCACACAAACATCATATGTACGTATGCAGAAAATAAGACAGCACATAATTCCATTACCCATTTTGCTTGGAGTTATGCTTCAAACAATAATGGAGTTTTTGGCAGGGTTTGTTGGGGTGCGTGGCTTCCCTTGTTTTTGTTTACATTCAAAATTAATTCACCCAGCATTTCTCTTTTTCATTTTTTTTTTCTCAAACAAATCTGTCATGTAGGTATCCCCGGGGAGGGGAAAGGAGAGAACATCTAATGGTTAGAAAGATGTTCTGATGCCACCATGTGACCATGAAAACAAGGCAGTCTTCTGGCGGCATTTGCCCGGTTAATTGACCGAGGCCACAGAGCGTTGCTGCTGCCTGTATTGCTCAGGGCACAAATCTCAAGCGGCAGCTTTCTGTTCAAGTGCACAGCTCTCACCTCTGTGCTGCGCAAATTTCTTTGCACTTCTCAGCCCTGTGGAAGGCAGTCGCACCTCAGCATCTAGTACTCAAATTATGTAATGACGTTTGTAAAATTTATTTTTAGCAAATATTCTTGCCTCAGGCTCTTCACAGAAGCCCACTTGACTCCATAACCATGCACAGTCTCAATCACCTGGGTCTTGTCTCATTTATGCCAAATTTCAAGCCTTTGAATTTATTTATATAGCTCTCCTGATGCAGTCCAAACTTTGCAGCATGGTGGGGAGTAACACCATCCAAATACTCCGTCCTCCACTCCTCGTGACCTCTCCCCACCTCGGTTTCCTCAGACTTTCCATGCTCCTGTACCTAAGAGTGTCCAAACAGTTTTGTTTGTTTTACAGAGTATTTTCAGACCACTAAAAATATAGACTTTACCTGGCCTTAGAGCTCCCATAGAAAAGGACATTTGGGCCAGGCGTGGTGGCTCACGCCTGTAATCCTAGCGCTCTAGGAGGCCAAGACAGGTGAACTGCTTGAGCTCAGGAATTCAAGACCAACCCCAGCAAGAGCGAGACTCCATCTCTAAAAATAACAGGCCTTTGTGGTGGGCACCTGTAGTCCCAGCTACTTGGGAGGCTGAGGCAGGAGGATCAATCGAGCCCAGAGTTTGAGGTTACAGTAGGCTAAGATGATGCCACTGCACTTTACCCAGGGTGACAAAGCAAAAGTATGTCTAAATAAATAAATACAATATTTTTTGAAAGAAAAAGAAAGAACATTTATTCAGCCCTCTCTCAGTCCTGGAAGCCTGTGTACTTGGACACTGTCTCGATTTCACTCCTAATGATAATTTGAATGTAATTGTTACAACTGGCCTCAACTACAAAGCCCATTTAGGAGGTCACTTTTTGAAGATAATTTTAACATTGTGTTCAAGAGGCTTTTGAATCCTTGGGATTAGAGAGATGATTGAGTAAAGGGCAAAAACTAAGTTCTGAGGGAATAAAGAGTTGAAGCAGAAAGTGGATTTTGTTTCTTCTAAATTAGGTAGATCACTGCTCTTCATTGCTTTTGCAGATTTCCCAAACTACAGCATATAAGAAAATGAAAGTTATTTGGGAACTGTTTTTAATCCTGAAGATGTTCGTGCTCCTTTAGCTTACTCGCCACAGAATTACAATATTTCAAAAGTTGGCACTTTATTAGTCATCTGTCACTACCAATGATTTCTAATCCAAGTTTTAGAATAGTTTAAGGGGTACAGAATTCTCAAAAGAAAAAAAATTTAAAAATTAAACATACCATCAGAAAAGGAATGTTCCTAAAATTCCATGAACAATAAAATCTTGAAAAAACTGGGGCCTTATTGTTACGTATCAGCTTACTCACAATACACAGATTTTTAATGGGTGTAGTTAGGACTTAAAGATAAAAAATGTCACTTATAAGTTAATGTTCTAGATTTATTTGTTTTCTATGAAACTAATTCACAGCTTCATTGAACATTTGATAAAAGACTAAATGACTCTAAGAGTGATAGTTAAAGAAAAGAAAAAGATCTGGAAATTAGGAGAACTGGGTTCTAGACCTGGCTTGTAATGCTCTGTGTAGCCTGGGCCCAGGCGGTAACTTGTCTGTGCCTTCATTTTCTTATTTGTGAAATGAGAGGGTATTTAAGCTAGATGATTTTAAGGCTCCCCTTCTGCTCTAAATTTCTAAGATTCTCTATACCATGTAATGTTTGGGCCCTGGTCATATCTCCCATTAAAAGAGGCTGTCTAGAGATTGTCATTAATAATACCAAGATCAAATTTTGGCGTTTAAGACCTAGCCAGGAGCTGGGAATCATCTTTCTCTCTCTTCTTTCTCTCTGGCTTACTTTCTCTCAGGCTCACACACACAGCCACACCCTACTAATTCCACCAAGTCAATAATAGTTTACATATTTTTTGCAGAGTGACTGTAAAAAAAAAAAAGTAATAGTTTACAGACAGCTATCTGACATAGGTTAAATTTTACAAATGAAAGTGGATTTTGAAGCTAATTATCACTATATTTTAATTACTATAAATAAAAGAAATGTGCTTTAAAATGCAGAGTAATTATACAATCATCCTTTGATGTTTTAATCTAACTTTGTTAACCTTAGAAATGACACTGTGAAATATCAAGATATCCATCAAAGCAAAGAACATTTAGTCAATTTTTAACTTCAGTTAAGTTTCAGTGAAGGATAACTTAATGGAATTCTACAAACATGTCTACCTGAACTACACACATTTTGTATTTTAGCAACAAGGACTTGGGCTCAGTTGACTTTCTAGTTCTACATATGACTTACTCAAGCTCAGAATTGGTAATGCTATCCACAGGCATATACATGATTTGTATTTTTAAAGTTCTAAGTTTTTCTGTTGTGCACACTACTCACTGGCAATATATGTATATCTTGTCACTCTGAAGATACTGTATGTTTGCTTACACTTTTTAAATATATTTGAATAGTAGCAGGTCTATTTCAAATCACTTGAAATTGTAGCTGTATGTTAATTAGCATTCAGTGATTAGTGTGATGGTAATTTAAACTACAAGAAACCATATACTACAATGTAGTTTAAGTTATGTTAAAAAAAATACATCATATAATACATTATAAAATTTGATTTAAGATTTCTAGGAAAACCATATTTGTAATCAAATACTTTGATCACTTTGTATATGTAATTTAACCTGTATATATTCTTTAGCTTGTTTCAATAAAAGTTAGAAATATTTCTGTCTCCTTATTTCTATTCAACTCAACTAATAGTTCATTTTCTAATACTTTGTATTTAAATGAGAAAAACTGTTACCTTCATATATAAATTCCACAACTTGTTATTTAATGTCCCATTGTTTGAAATATTTGAAC